CATCTTCTTGTCTTTAATGTCGCTCAATTCTTAATTATACAGTCCTATCCGGTACTGGTCCTTCCGAAGGGGTTCTGAAATCTTCATCTCTTCAGCGTTGTACATCGGTGCCATACTGGTAAAGGCGTTAGTCGTCAAGCGCGGTTTCTGAGTCGTCTCTGCCATCGCTGCTAGTTCGGTTCACAAGAAAGACACACCTTCGCCATTCCACTTCTCTTCACAGGATGTCAATGTGTGTAAGACGCAATGCCCAGGGTTCTCACACCACGTATCACGGGGAAATCTCTTCTCTCTCTGGGTCTCCACACTTGTCAGGGGGGAATCTCGTCTCGTCTCTCTATCTCGTCCCCTTGAGGTACGGGATCGGGGAAGTCACTTTACTTTACAGTCAAATAAGACACACACAACGAAATACGTTTCAGCTCTCGTCTTAGTCGGTCAATCGAGCACTCTATAAGACACAGCGCCCTGGGGAAAAGTCCCCAAGACTCTCGCAAGGCTGACCCAAGACTAGCCCAAGACTGGACTGCCTCAAGGCTCGCCCCTGGACTCTCTCGGACTGCGACTGCCCAGGACTGCCCTCGACTGCGTCTATCGTGGAGTATTCGCCAAGACCAACTCAAACTCTCTTTATTCATTTTCAAAACTCTAACCAATTACAAAACAGTAAAAAGACTCTAGGGCGTAACCTTCAATCATAAAGCCAATCACACTAAGTACTGAATACGTCATATCTTTTGATTAATCGTTCACTACATTAATAACTACGGATGTCAGAATAGCGACGGTATCTTGTAATTAAGTTCCAAACCACTGAGCCAAGTTCCGTCCAAAACTTCAAATAGACCTAAACGATGACAGACATAACACAGCAATTCAGCTAATAATCAACTAATTAAGTCGGTCAAGAGATACGCGAAAACAAATTCATGACACATCCCTTCACCCAAACTGAGATATGCCCCTCGGCATTGCACGTTCACAAATCAAAGATACCGTCAGCCACTCATCGTCATACGGGTTAAATACAATACTAATAATAAAAGGAATAAATCAAAAAGAGTAAAACACACTAATTAAGTACAATGATTATAAAGTCTAAATACAATGGTTATAAAGTCACAAATATCAATGGTTATATATCAAAAACAAGGGAAAGGCTACCAATCGACTCACTTTTCTCAAAACGGTTCACTGAGGTAACCCGTCGCTTCACTTTCTCCGTTACTAAGGTTACAAACTCTATATCAAAAGGTCAAAAAACTAAGGCGTGGCGGTGTAACCAAGCGATCAGCCAATCGCTGCAGTCGACAGCACGATCACGTGATTACCAGGGATGCGTCTCTCGGTTAAAGCATTGCAAAGCGGTAACTAATAAACAATGAATAAAAAGCCATTAATCAAACTCCTGTCACATACGCTTATAAACTTCAACTGAACTCAAAAGTCGTTAATCTAAACAAAAGTCATACGGCGTGGAAACAGAATGCAAAGACAATGTCGCTTTCATAACACCTTACTCCTCTGGCAAAAAGACGGAAAAGACTAAAACGATAGAAACTACTAAGTTACATATAAGCCTGTCAATCATGAACAAAAGCTTGCGTTATCAAACAATACATATATAAGCGCACCAAACTCCCATCTCAAAAAGATATAAAAAAAACCTTACAAAGGTGCTCCAAACTCAAAAAGCGTCAGAAGTATTCCGGAAACAACACGTAAACAAAAACAACTCTTAAAACGTCGGTATCTCTGTACTCGACAAATCTCAAAACTCTGAAAAACTCATTGGGGCATTACTTTCCCCATCATAATCCGTACTCATAAACTCATTAAAACTCCATAAAACTTAACAAAACTCAAAACACTGTGATGCAAATACTTGTCCACTGAGGCGCGCTTAAATCATTATAAAGGACCTCGAACGTCACAAAATATCAGTTCAAAACAAAGATCTGGGCGCTTACATACATACAATTCAACATCACTAAAAGAACACGGTAAAAACAATAGGAAAAGCAAGCAATACATTACATTACTGAGCAATAGGGTTAGGATTCTGGAAAAGAGTTCAACGTCTTGAGTTACACAGTGTCAGTTACAGTGTCCAACGAGCGGTTCTCTAAGCAATACACAGATAGCTAAAGTCAAAGTCTATAAGCGTCTCTTCTCTTGTCGCGTTAGTCCGGGGTCGTTCTTT